GAATTTTTGTTTAAAAAAAAAAAAAAGATGCATGAGCTTTAAGTAGTTACAATTAAGAGGTTGATCAGGGGAAAAGTAGGCGGCTTGTGATTGATGGACGCAGCGATCACAGGCAGTTGCAAAGGAAGCAAAAAGTAGACAAATACTCACTAAGCAAACAACAAAACTAAATATTGCAGCCATTTGTTGAATGTATGTCTGAATTGTATGACAACTTAGTGTAGGTATATATATATATATAGTGTGTGAGTTTGTTGAAACTTGAAAGTGGAGAAAAATGTGAGTGAAATTTTGATGGGTGGAGGACAGTAAAACAGGTAAAATATTGCTGTAATTTTTTTTTTTTTTAATTTATATATATATTTTGATTTGTTATATGTCCATCCAAATCTGCCGAGTCAAGAGGGAAAGCGACAGGCGCTTGCTCATAAGTGGCTTCCAAATCACCGCAAATACTTAGGTGTGCAAAGACATTTTTAAAATGAACATAATTTTTTTTTTTTTAATTTTTATTACAAATGTGGGGAAAAAAGCAGAGGTATGTTGTGTTATTGTGTTAGGCAAATTAAATGTAACGTTTAAACAATTATATATTATTACATTAATAGATATATATCAGACTCTAAAACACCAATATGACATTATTTATATAATATAAATGTTGGATCAGTCCGCATTACAATCAAAATGGATTCGTAGAAATGAGTTATGGAGTTGTGGTGCTTTCGTACGTGTTGTTGTGCAACTAATTGTTATAGTCGTTCATGTTTGCAATATTAATTCTCCACTTTTTATTAGTGGAAATCAGTATAATTCATTAGTAGATGTAATAATAATGATGTGACAAATGGCCTCTCTTTATTATTATTGCTGATTTAACAAACTCCGCTGGCAATGTCAACGCCAATGTCATCCCCTTTCAAATAATACTCCTTTTTTGTCTTGTTTGTTAGATGGACCTTCGTTTTCTATCAATGTCACGATAACTAAGCCTTTAAACAAGTTGAGTCAAATTCAACTCGTTTTATAGACGAGCTAAAAATCAAGCTTGAGCTCAGCTTGTTAAAGCTTGTCTGAGCCTAAACGAGCCAATTTCGAACTTTAACGAATCAAATTATAAAAATAATATAAAAAATCTCTTTTCGAGCCTTAACGAGCTTTATCGAGTCAGACTGTTAACCAAATAACCATTAAATGAGCTCGAGCTTGCCTCGTTAAGGCCTTGAACTCGAGTCAAATTTGAGCGGAGCCGAGCCAAGCCAAAACTCGTTTAATTTAACATCACTAGTTACAAGACACTTGCGAAATAACTTACCAAAATCCAAAATTTCGAGCTCGAGTTTCTGTTGTTGGTGTTGATGGTCGTGACCACCAGCCCTCAGCACTTGGGGGGTCGAACCCCTGGTGGGCATGACCATGCACCTGGGACTCATGAACTTTCACAGTGCTCTTGTCCTAAGGTGAAAACCCATGTTTGGACTTTCTGTGATTTTTTGCCCTCCCCAGGACTCGAACTCTGCACCCTGAGCATAAGGTGAGGTTCATGATAAGTCCCGGTCAAGCAGGGTCGTGACAATATTCTTCTCCATACCTCATTCGCCTAAATGCCGCAATGTATGCAACGTTGTTTCCGGTGCCATTCCACACAAGCTGCAGTAGGAGAAACAACCATATGCCTCTGATACCTTTCCGAATTAGTCAAAATTCGGCCATCAACAACAAGCCATAAAAATTGACGAATCCTTTGAGGCCCATCCCAATGGCAAACCTTTTTTCACAAATCAAAGGGAGCCTTTGGTGTGGGTGGTATTTCTATACTTTTTCAGCTTTAACACCCAAATCTTGATTGAACTCCGCTTTGTTCAAATTTGCGGCAGCCCCGATCCCGGAATCACTTTTATATGCCACGGTCTCCTCCTTTGTTCACCCAGATGTGACTTGGGATTGGTCAGGTTTCCAAGGGTTGTTGCCTGCGACGTATCTTTTGCGGATCTCAGCAACACCTCCGCCGCAGGAGAATGGTGGCGAAGACGGAATTACTGGGGGTGGTCGGTGGATGGGAAGTTTACGACGAGGTCGGCCTATACGGCGTTAGCTCATCCTAGCGATCGGAGTGCTGCGGGCTTATGGAAGGTTATTTGGCAATGGGTCGGACCTCAACGTGTTCGTCATTTCCTCTGGTTGGCCACATGAGAATGCCTGTTGACCAATGCAGTTCGCCATCGACGTCACCTCGCGTTACATGTTGGATGCCCGGTCTGTTCATTGGCCATTGAGACTATGGCCCACGTGCTCAGGGACTGTGTAGTTGCGAAGGAGACTTCAGAGAAGCTAGTTCCGAGAAGCAGGTGGTGTGATTTTTTCTCGTTGGATGGTGGGACTTGGCTTGCTCATAATTTATCCGGTCGTCTGCTGCCGAAGGTTGAGGACTGGGAGACGATTTTTGGTATTACGGTATGGCGATTATGGAGATGGAGGAATCTCAAAGTATTCGAAGAATCCGATACTATCTTGACTCACAGGCTTGGCGAGATTCGCTCTTTTGTGAGCAGATTCCAATGTACCCGTGATAATAGTGGTGGATTAGGTGCCTGCGGAACTCCTGACACACGTTGGCTATCATGGTCTTTCCCAGCTGAGGGTGTGCTTAAGGTAAATACCGATGGTAGCTTTAATTCATCGACGGGGATGGCGAGTGCGGGTGGCGTCATTCGTGATCACTCTGGCAATTGGGTTCGCGGGTTTGTGATGAATATTGGTTTTTGTTCGATTATGGGAGCCAAATTGTGGGGCCTGTTTCAGGTTTTGAAGTTGGCTTGGGATATTGGAGCTCGTCATATCACAGTGGAGGTGGATAATCAAAGTGTCGTTGTGATGGTACATCAAGATGACACTAATGGGCCGCATGGGAGCATTTTAAAAGGCATTGAGGAGTTGATGGGTCGCTCGTGGTGTGTGACGGTTGCTCATGGCTATCGTGAGGTTAATTTTGTGGCAGAATTTGGCGTTTTTGGCGGCTAAAGGACCGGGTGGTTTGTAGATTCTGGAGCGTCCTCCTCCGGGGGCGTGTTTATGGTTACAACATGATATCACTGGCGTGTCTTATTCTCGTAGGGTAGTGACATAGTTGTGATATAGGCTTTGCCTCCTTTCTTGTACCAAAAAAAAAAAGGAAAAAAAGAAAATAGAAAGTTGTTCTCTCCCCGAACTAAAGAGGTACGGAACAACTCTCAACAATCTGCCTTACCACCTCACAAAGAAAATTGGTACTTTTGTCCAGTTTCTCGAGGTGCGGGCAGAATCCCTATTTATCACTTTTGTCCAGTTTCTCGAGGTGCGGGCAGAATTCCTATTTATCTAGAGCGGTTCTCGCTTCTCGCTCTCCTATAACTCTAATCAAGAGAGTTTCCTCTTCTCCTTCAGAACAGAAATTTTGGGTTCAACCCTCGAGTTGTCAAGAGTCGAAGAAACCCAAAACCTAAAGCCCAATATAGTGTGGTCACCTAGAGATTGGGCCTGATTAGAATGGGATTCCATTGGCTTAACTACCACGGGTATCTTTGGACGATGATGTGAAATGTGATGGATAAACGCGGTAATTCAAGTCAGCTTCTTTAAAGCGGTGAAGCCACGACAAGGAAAAACCAAAGAAAAGTTAAAATAGGTTGATCAGTTTATAAAACTGATCATAATTAGGTTTAATTAACAAAATAGTAGAGTGTGTGTAACAACAAATTTTATGGAAGACATAAAACTTTTGTACAACTTGATTTTCTTTCGATCAAACGATATTGCGGGTACAATCTCTATTTATCTCCTCTGATTCTTCTCTTCATGGATTTGGGTTTGAGATCTTGAAAGATGAATTTGACGATTGAATCTCCTTCATGCTTGGTCTTAAATTTCTCTAACATTAACTTGGGGGTCGAATGACTTATTCCCTTATTAAATGTTAGACCTTGACTTGATTAAAGACAACTTATTGGAGAACTTGTTTCTTTGATCTTCTGAAAAGAGAGACTTTGACTTGAATAACGTTGACTCGAGGGCTTGATAGCTTTTTCTTGAATCAAACGCTATGTTGGTTGAACTTCTCAACGAACGGGGCTTGAATGTCGCTTGAACGTCGTTGATATTCTTGGATTGACTTGAGAAGCGTGAAAGTCATCTTTTTACTTCTTGAGGAAGAGTCGCCGCCTCTTTTTCTTCTTCTTGGCCTTCTTCTTCATTGAACGGACCTCGGACGGTTCTTCAAGAACTTTTCAGATCTTCAAGAGGATTCTTGAGAGCTCTTGAATTTAAGACTATAATCTTTGAGCTTTGATATTTTTTTTTTTTTTGGTGTTTGAGGTGTTTGAGGTGTGATTTGTGGCATTGAGGAGAGCCCTATTTATAGGTGTAGGAGAGAGAGTCTTGGAAAAGAAGACTTCAATTTGATTGGTCCTTCATGATTTGACATAATCTCTTTCCTTATCCTAAGATTTGATATAATCTATTTCCTTATCCTAAGATTTGACTTGGTGGGCAAGAAATAATTACTTTATTAACTAAAAATCTTATTTATCTTGGATTTATGTCCCAAAAATAAATAAAGACATTAATTAATAAAATATTAAAATTTCGATGTCTACAAATGCCCCCTTGAGACTTGTTCACGGACAAAATGTCTTGGTAGTGAATGAGTCTCAAAATTTTGAATTTGGTTTGGACATGTATATAGTTTAAACTCTTATCCAGGAGTTCTTCAAATTAAGTTTGTAGATAGTTTAAACTCATATCAGATAGTTCTTCATTTGACTTGATTTGTAGATATTTTATACTCATATCAAGGAGTTCTTCATTTGACATAATTTGTATATAGTTTAAACTCATATCAAGGAGTCTTGATTTGATTTGACATATAGTTTATACTCGTATCAAAGAGCCTTCAAATTTGTAGACATTTTATGCTCGTGTCAAGTAGATCTTGATATGTAGACATTTTATGCTCGTGTCAAGGAGCCTTCAAGTTTGATATGTAGACCTTTTATTCTCGTGTCAAGGAGATCTTGATATGAAGACATTTTATGCTCGTGTCAAGGAGCCTTCAAGTTTGATTTGTAGACCTTTTATTCTCGTGTCAAGGAGATCTTGATATGATGACACTATATGCTCGTGTCGAGGAGCCATATAGATAGTTTAGGCTCATATCAAAGAGCATATGTAGATAGTTTAAGCTCATATCAAGGAGCATTTGAACATGTAGATAGTTTAGGCTCGTATCAAGGAGCATTGGAATATGTAGATGATTTAGGCTCATATCAAGGAGTATTGGAATATGTAGATAGTTTAGGCTCATATCAAGGAGCATTTGACTATATAATGGAGCTCTTCATGTAAATTGCCCCCCATGGAAGTTGAAAAGAACATGGAAGACCGGTTTTGTTTCTCCACCAAACGGATGAAGGTTTCATGACTTGAAGAGACATCATCCTTAGTTGTCCCCTTTGTACAATTTCTTCAAAGAGGTCTTCATGCATCTTCAAAGATCTGCGAACTTGATTTGAAGAGAAGAGATGAGAGGTAGAAATTGTCCCACTGGGCGTGCCAAATTTGTAACAACAAGTTTTATTTGTAGTCCCACTGGGCGTGCCAAAAATTTGTAACAACAAATTTCGTGTATTGAATTTAAAAAAACACGAAAAATATTATTCAAATGAATTTCTTGAATCAAAATAATATATTGCGGGTTACAATCTCTATTTTTCCTCTGATTCTTCTCACAAACAATATTTTAAGTCTTGGAGCGAAATCTTCGGCTTGATCTTCTCCTTGACTTGATTTGACTTGAATTAACGTAATCCGGGGGCTTGAAAGCTTTTTCCCGGATCAAACGTCAAAATATCCCAAGAACGCGAAGAACACGAATCCTTGGTCTTCGCCGCAAAGTAGATCTCGAGTCTTCTTCACGCCGGTTTTGAATTTACTAACGTTATTCGGAGGCTTCGCAGCTTGTTTCCGGATTGAACGCTAGTCTTGAGGTTGAACGCACTTGAATCTTGCTTTGAGTCTTCAAGAACGCCTTTAAATCTTCAAGAACACTTGAATCTCGTCGAGATATCTTGAACTTGAACTTGAATACGAACGTAATTCGGAGGCTTGGCAGCTTGTTTCCGGATTAAACGTCGGTTTTGAGCTTGATGTGCTTGAATCTTCCTTCGAATCTTCAAGAACGGCTTCGAATCTTCAAGAACACTTTGAAACTTGTAGAGAGAATTCTCTAGAGCTCTTGAACTTCAAAATATGAATTATGATGTGTGTTTTTGACATTAGGGAGAGCCCCTATTTATAGGTGTAGGAGAGAGCACCCTACCAAATTTAAGAATCGTAGGACGCAATTTGATTGGTCCATGACGATTCACATGAGATCTTCTAGATTTGCTTAGATCTCCCA